CAAGGCCTCGTCTGACTTGGATATGCCCTGAAGGAGAGAATGCAAGTGGAGAGGGGGTTAGCAAACACCCAGGAGCCACAAAGGATTCCCCTCTCCCCATGCGGCGCTGGCACTTGCCTGGGAAAGGCTGCAGTTGGCTGAGGCCAGCTTCATCGCCTTCAGGATGCTGGGGAGAAACAGCACAGAGTTAGTCTCCGCTCGCTCCCCACGTTTGCTTAGCCGGGTCAGGCACTGACAAGTGAGGGGGGAAGGGGCTTCAGGAATGGTGCCCGGGACATCCACTCTGCCCCAGAAACCCGGGACTTGGAACAGGGGGTCACGGCTATTCACGAAGAGCCAGCGTATCCCACTGCAGCGCTCCTCTGCCGCACTGCTGTCAAGCCAGCAAGCTTGATGAAATGCGACGTCCTCGCTGCAGGATGCTCGGTCTCTTCTTACGCACGTGTGACCTCTCCCGGCCCCGGGTGGGGAGGCTGAGTCCATCCCGAGCCGGGAGCAGGGAGGATGCCAGGTGTGGCACTGCGCTCTGCCCTCAGCAACAGGGCTGGGAAGCGCGCAGGGCTGGAAAGAGGGGCACGTGGGCAGCCGGGCACTGACCTCAGCTCTGTTTTAATCTCCTCGTAGTCGGACTGGGCCTGCAGCTTTTCTTCCAGCCTCTAGACAATGCAAGAGAGCAAGACATCGGCTAGTACAGTCGGCCCTTCCACAAAGTCGCAACCCCAGGGCAGGCAGGGTTGCTACCGCCTGCTCGCTGCCAGCTGTCCATCTCCCAGGTAGAATCCACCTCCAGGCCCAGGGCTCTGCCCTGCCCTCCCTTCCCCTCCACACGACCAGGCTGGTGAATACACTGCAGGTCTGTGCTGGGAAGTCCAACAACAGAAAGACCGAGGGGGAAGCCCCCTGCCAGGGCTGTGCCAAGCTAGTCCTGGGCTCAGAGGTGGGCTGCATTTGCACAAGCATCCGCCCAGACTCCCCCTGGGGTGATCCCTGCCCCAGTCCCCGCTGCGGGCTCCAGGCTCCTCCTGCACAGGCCAGCGCGTACCTCGATGGCCTCGTTCTTGGCGGCCAGCTGCCGCTCCAGGTCAGCGATCTGGTTGGCCGAGGACTCCTCCAGCTCCTGCAGGGAGCTCTGCAGATGCTGCACATCCTTGAGGAGCCGCAGGATCTCCCGGTCCTTGGCTGCCAGCGCTGCCTCCAGCCGGGCCCCTGAGCACATCGAGTAGTTCACCTTGTCCTGCAAAGGGAGGGTGACGGCCGTGAGGCTCCCTTCTGAGCAAGAGGCACTTGTCTAAGTGCAGGGAGTGACTACACCCTGGCAGCCTCTGCAAGCAAAAGGCTTCCCCTTGGGGCACATCTAACCCTGCCAACATGGAGGGACCAGCCCCATTGCCCGGTGACCCACCTGGGGTTGGGACAGGGCTGTAGCAAGGTGGAGGCTGGAAGCGTTGGCTGGGATACAGCTGCCAAGAGAGGAGGCCAGTGCCGCTGGCAGCTGCATACTGGTGACTGGCGGCAGGCTGAGCATGCGTGGAGCAGCGTTAATTAGGGAAGCTAATTTGGACGGAGCCACAGCACCTCCACTCCGCAAACTCCTACGCGGGTGCTATTAGCCAAGCCGCCAAACACCCGCTCTGCGACTCCTTGACCAGGAAGAGAGCCGGACAAGCTGGATCTCGCAACCAGCTGCTGCCCCAGCCCTCCCACGGGAACCTGCCCCGCAGGCCTGTGCATGGGGGAGACCGCAGCCTGCCTCCGCTGCAGCCGAGGGCTCTGGGCCGACTCCCCCAGCCGAAGGCCTGGCCAGCTGCCTGGGGAACATCATGCTCCTCACCCCGCTGGGGCCTTGCGGAGAGCAGCAGGCCAGGCGAATGGAGCTGTTGACAGATGCTAGCTGTTCCCGCAGGCTCTCCACCTCCCGTTGTGCCGCCTCTGCTCGCTGCAAGAGAGAGACGACGTGGTATCAGGTCACCCATGGTGGCTTCCGTGTCAGGGTCACACAGGCACGTCCTCCACCGGAGCTCCCTGCCCAGTCCTCATGCCACAGGGTGCTTCGGCAAGGCCAGAGCTGTGGTGTCGTAATGCTGACATGAGGCCCCACGTGGTAGCCAAGGCGTGGGCCAAGCAGAACCGCCAGCCTTCGCCACATGCCGCCTGCACAAGTCAGGAAAACAGCCACTAGACAGGCTTTGCGGCATGATGGCACGGCCCTTCCACCTGCATCAGGGAGGATGCTGCATCTCCCATCCTGCTCTCCCCTCCAGTGCCTTTCAGCTGGATGCAGCAATGCAGCCATGCAGGATGCTGGGCTCCAATTGCCCAGGGGCTCTGGCTCCAGCGTGTGGCTCTGAGCACCTGCAGCCTGATTCAGAGCAGGCCCAGCCAGCCCCAAACTCGGAGCTGGGGTAGGGCCTGGCCCTGGTGCTTCCAGCACCTCTAACTGGCTGTCTCAGTGTGAGGCCCCCGTGCTGGGCACTGGAGCCCTAGTCACCTGCACATTAGAAGACCCAGGCACAGGCCCATCCCTGGGTCCCAGCCTGACTCCAGCATGGAGAACCACATCCTGTTCAGCTAAAATGCCTTCTCATTGCAGCTGGGAATCTTCTTTACTTCCTGACCTGGGCTTACGTGTAGTGTTACTGTGCACTGTCCGATAGCCGCGCCCTAGAGGTGGCTGCATTTCAGGGATGTCTAAAAGCAACACCCACATGCCCCCTCTATACCCCTTAAAGGCTGTGTTTATGTTGCTATTTAACTATATTTTACTAATCAGATTAAGTCATTTGTATGCAAATGTCATGATTAATTCAACGACGAACAAATTACTAGAAATGGAGGAAAGCCACGGCCTGAGTGCACTGTTTTACCCAGCCCCAGAGAAGTGCCCTGACATATCCCAAATGTAAACCTGGTGGGGTCATAACATCTACAGACCTCAGCCATGGGGGTGCCTCTCCAATAAAGCTGCACTAGCCAAGGCACGCACCAGTGACGGGGGCCAGTTGTTGCTGGGCTCTTGCATCTGCAGATAACCCAGTCGCATTGGTCTAGGGTTGGGTGCCTTGTGCACCTCTGAGCAACAGCAGTCTCCTTCCCAGTGGTGCCAGATCTAGCACTTACCTGGGTATCAAGATCACCCTCCTCCTGAGCCCTGAAAGTCAGGCTTAGTCCAGTGTCCCTGCTTCAAGCCCAGCCCTGGGGGACAGGACGGCTCACTCAACCCTGGCACTGCCTGGGCTCCCCGCTGCAGCCAGCTCTGCCTCCGCCTGGGGCTGCTACAGAACGAATCTGCTCCAGTCCGTGGCTAATGGCAGGGAGTGAAGGGAAGGTGCTCGCCGCTCTGAGCCTGGCTTGCTATAAATGCAGCGGCAAGGGGCTCTTCTCACCTGATTGGCTTTTTCAAGGTTGGTCATGATCATGGCTACTTCGTCCGCCCTGCAACAGCAAAGCAAGAGCAATTAGCTGGGACAGGCATGCACTCCATCCCCGAGATGTGCCAGCCATGGCACACAACCTGCCTCTGCTACACGCCGCTGTGGTTGGGGCCGGGTGGATGGGGAGCACACTGCTCACGCCTGAGAAACAATGTGAATGGGATCCCCACCAGGTGCCTTCAGAGAGGCTGGAGCAGCTGCCTGGATGACCCCCTGGGATGAGGCCAGTGTGGCAGCTGTGATCCCCCCCCACCCCCGTACCTCACCTCAAGTCAACCTTGACTGCTCGTCCTCGAGGGGCGAACAGAAGTTCGGGCCCCACGGCCCATTCGAGCCTTGGCTGCCCCGTGGCGACAGCCAACAAGGAGGCCGCTTGTGCCAGCTGTGATGCTCATGTTGTGAAGCGGGCACCTGCCCATTAGGAACTGGCCTTGGGCCACCCTGGCTCATTTCACACAGGCCAACAACCAGCCATTAGCTGGGAACGACTTCAGGTCATTAACGAGCCATGCCCATCTGCGAGCTGGTGAGCTCAACATAAAAGCCTCCGTCTCTGCCTGCCAGGCCTGCGCGCCACCCCCTCGGCCTCTGGATAGCTAGAGAAATGTCTCCTTCCCTCTTGATCCCGGGCTGTTTGTCAACAAGGAATATTTGCATCTGCTTAATTGCCTCCCACCCACCCTTTCACAAGTCGTTAAGAGCTGGCAAAGCTGAACGGGACATGGCGGCGGATCTGTTTACTGTGTGAAGGTAAATATCCAACGTGTCTAATGTGTGGTCTCTGGTCCCAGCTACACAACTCATGCTGGCTGATGAATTAACCACACATAAACACACCAGCTGAACCCAGACAGGGGCATCTGAAACCCCCCGGATGGAGGCTGCAACGGAGACCAAGGGACAGGACAAACCCCCTTTTCATCTCCGTCGTTGTGCGCCTGGAGTCTCCGGTCCTAATCAAAGGGAAAATTATTTACAGCCCCGCGTTGTACAAATGGCATATCGAATTATCAAAGAACATCTGCTTTGGTATTATACGATTAAGTGTCCTGACTCTGATGTAGTGTGTGTGTGTGTGTGTGTGTGTGTGTGTGTGTGTGTGTGTGTGTGTGTGTGTGTGTGTGTGTGAGCGAGGGCCGTGGTGTGCGAGCGAGGCCAGCAGAACATTTGAACAGCTGTAAGCGTTTGGCAGCCTCTGCGGCTGGTGAAAGCCAGAGAGAGGGAGAAGATGTTCCTGACTCATAAAAATAAATGGCACCCGACCAACAAAAATAAGAACAGGCAAATGGACATTTAATGGAGTGGAGGAGTCTGTTAAACGTATCCCACTGCCTGAGCTCGCCCTGCCGGGCTGGGTACACTGCGCGCAGTGCCAGGTACAGCGCTGTCATGCCTGGAAGAACACGAGGGGGCATCCCGAAATGTTAAGGAAGGCCTGATGAGAGTCATTCCCAGGGACAATGTCTGTACCTGCAAGGCAGTGTCCCCATGGTCCCCGATCCGGGTTCTGCTCAGCTCACATCCCACCTTTTGCTGATGTGAGGGACTGTGCTGACGTCTGAGGCAGAAGGGGGAACTGGACTTTTACCACAGGGCCATCGCCAGCAAAACGCAGAGGCCATCCCCTGCCCTGCCCCAGGATGGTCTGCCTCTCCAAGCTGCTTCCTCGAGCAGCTGCCAAGAGCCCTGAGCAAAGGTCTCTGCTGCGAGGCCCCCATTGCCTCTGCCACAACAACAGCGGCCCACCTCTGCCCTCGGCCACGGGCCTGAGCCTCTCACTGGCATCAAGGGCTGGCGCTGGGATGGGAGCTGGTGTTCCTTGGTTCTCGGTCCCTGGCTCAAACCACAGGCCCACCTCACTGAGCTCTGCCTTGTCCCGGCATACAGCCATGGCACCACTACCAGCAATCGCTTGCTCCTGAAAACAATCCAGATTCTTGCAGACCGCGTGGCTCACCCCGCAGGCATCCACGTACTCTGCTGACCGCTGACCTCGTGCTGGGGCCAGTCCCAGACACGCTCCCCATGCCGGCAGCTCCCTGGGGATGCTGGACGCCTGGCTCTGACGCTGGCCTGCAGAGCCTCAGCCCTGCTACGTCTGCTCTGCTCTGCCCTGGTGGGGCAGTGGGCGGATGAAGGACAAGGGGAGGCTTCCACGCGGCACAGAACCAGCAGAGACAACCAGGGATGCAGCCACGGGGTTTCTGCCCTGACTTCCTGAGAGGTCACTGACTGCAGGGATGGCCCCAGAAGAAAATTCTAGCCAAGTGCAATTTAGAGCCAGCCCTACGCTGCTCTAAGTAGCATTTTGGGTAGAAATGGCCCTTGTGCCAGGGCTGAGGGAACTGGTTGTATGAAGCAACATTTGTCCCATCCCCTCCAGCCCTGCACTGGGTCTGATTAGACCAGAGGCTGTATCCCTGGGACACCTGGAGCCCACACCACATGGGTGGGGATGCCCTGGGATAAACTGCTGGCTGCGCTGGCTTTGTAGGTGGCTGGGATGGGTCATGCTACGTCGGGTACACAAGGCAGCGCCTGGCTGCAGGAAAGCACAAATTCCCAAACAGCACGTTAAGACAGGCCCTCTTTGGCGGCTTCGCACAGATGCAACCTCTCCACATGGGTCAGCCGGACAGACAGCCCGAGGGACTTACTTTGATGCTGCCTCTTCGTCATATTTACACCGCAGCTCCAGCAGCTCCGTCTGGGTGGCCTTTAGCGCTGAGCACCAGGGAAAAGTAAAAGCAACATGCAGTGAGCACTGGGCTCTGACAGGGGGAGATCCACCAGGCACCAGCCTGTTGGAAGATGCCTCTGCCTGCCCTGAGCAGGCTGCCCTGTTCCCTGCATGCCGCCGCTGCCCCCACTCTGGTCCGAGGAAGGAACATTTTGCCCACTTCCTTTTGCCTCTGTTCTTGTGTAAATGGAGGCAGAAAAACCATGGGGAAAGTCAACCCCGCAGGCGCAGAGAGCCTGAGCCCACGGGAGCTGTGCCTGCGTGGAGCCTACAGCCTGGGGGCACAGAGCTGGGAAGGCCCAGTGTGCTCCAAGGAGCTGGCAGCAGCTCAGCATCCCTCAGGGGGTACCTGGCACCCAGTCATGCAGGATTTGGCACTTTCCCCGGGCAGAGGCCAGGTCTGGGGTGGGGAACGGGATGAGGAATAACTACATCCTGGTGCGGGCTTGATCCAGACCTTTGTGACATGGGCACCTCTTCCCATGGGCTGCCCATGGATGCCACGCTCACTTTGGCAGGCAAGGCCAACAAAGCCTGTGCAGCCCAGTCACAGGCCCCAGGGTCATTGCCATGCAAGTGCACTGCCACCTCCTGCCATGTGTGCAACTCCAGCTTGCACCAACTGCCCTGGCAGAAGAGCTGTGATCACAGGGGCACAGCCGAGTCCAAAACGTGTCTGAATACAGCGGTGGGAAGGGAGCCCTGGGCTCTAAAACTCCTGTACCTGAATGAAGCACTTTGATCTTTTCTTCTGCTTCCCCCAGCCGAGCAGCCAAAGTGATCTGTGCTTCCTGGAGTCCCCTGTGAAGAGAAGCGCAGCAACTGTGACCTTCCACGTTTATACACAGCTAATCCCTGCCCAGGACAGGACCTGCCAGCGACTGCCGTGCATGGCTCCCAGGGGGTACAAGTCTCCTTGCCTTGGCCCTGGACACACGCTAAGCAGCCGTTCACACGGTGCCACCGATTTGCTATTTTATCTTTTTCACCACGTGCTTAAAGCTCATCATTCAGAAGTTACGCCACAGAAAGTATAGACTTATTGCAGCCGAGACATTTTCATGCCGCTAGAGTTGTCGGCGTTTCCATTAAAAACTTCTATTTCCAGGGCTTTATAGCGCTGGCCATAAAAATTCACTTCAGGCTGAGAACTCGGCACGCTGGATCCCAGCCCAGAAACAAACGTTGGGCCAAAAATTTATTAGGAGAATTTTAAAAAGGACGAGAGAGGCAGGAAAAGAAGGGATGAGAAGCTACCTGGCTGTTTCTGAGCTGCTGCGTGGCGCAAAGCCACGACGGCTCCGACGGGCCCGTGCAGACAGCATCCAGGAGGGCAGCGCACAGTGCTGACACCAAGCCCCCCCAGTTTAGATGCAACCACTGCCCCAGCACAAGTGGGTGGAAGAGAAGCGGCTGGACAGGCTGTGCAGACAGTGCCGCTGCCCTTGTTAATCCAGGCCGGACATCGTGGCTCCTCAGCAAGTGCTCTGGCCCCAACCCGACGATGAACGAAACCTGGCCACACCACAGATTTTTGTGGCTGCCAAGGGCCCTGACACTGGGGTCTGTATTGACCCAAGAGCCTGTGATAGCATGGACGGGTCTGTCGCAGGCTCTTGGGCCCATCCCCTGCACCCCAGGTGTCCAGGGGTCTGGGGTGCTCGGGTCAGTACCCTGCAGATGTGGGGCTCCGCTTGGCTGCAGTTTGTGGGATCCACACAGCACCTACCTGGGGCTTGGCCCACCAGAGCGGTGGTGACACCAGGCAACCACTCAGCCACATCTCCCCATTGCTCCCAGTGGTGCCTGGTGCTTGTTGGCAGGTGAGGGGAACCTGAGCAGCATCTGGCGGGGCTCCAGAGCCAGTGTGCCGGCATCCCCTGGCACCTCTCCAGGCATTCATGCTGCCTGCACAGGCCTCTCTTGGGCAGGGGGAGGACAGACAGGCCAGAGGAGCAAGCAGCAGGCAGCTGGGCATCACAGGGACTCCATCTCAGGTGGCTTAAGGGCTTGCGACAGGTCCAGAACCGAATGGGAGTCTAGCAACTGGAGCAGCTGGTACTAGTGGTGAATGCCAACCTCCGGACACCGGTGGCCCAGGGCACTCCTCTTTCCCAGCGAAGTCTGTGAAGGCCAGGCCCAGACCAACTGAGAGGGATGAGGTGTCCTGCCTCGCCTCCCTCTCTCAAGAATATGATGGGGCCAAGCCTGTATCGTAAAGTGGTTGAGAAGACATTGCAGAAACACAAGGCAAATGCTGCCTTCAGATCATAAGGGAAACACATTCTTAAACACCTCCTGACATTAAGAGGTGAAAAAGGAAAACCCTCCTGTAATTAATTTGAGGGGGGGGGGAAGCAATCAGGGAAAAGTTATTTTGCATTATTTATAGCCTGCGTGTGCCAGGAACTTACTTCCAAAGAACGGCAATTTAGAGTTTAAGGATGTGTCATTTGTTTGCCAGCGCAGCGCGTTAAGGAATAACAATGAAGTCTCGTTCCACGAGCCATCGGTAAGCTCCGGAGTGCGGAAATTCAAAGGCCATTTAACAGAGAGGTCTGTCTGCCGGCCTGCATTTATCCGACTCGTCCAAGCCAAACAACGTGCAGGGGAAACGTCAATCGGCGACAGCCAGGTGGAGCAGAAGGGAAACAACCCCCCCGTGGAGGGGTGGCGAGGCGTGGAAAGCCAGCGTGGGAGGCTCAGGGCAGAACGGGGCCGACCCTTTATCTAGCTGTCTGTGCAGAGCCTGACACACCAAGATGGTCTTCTAGCCAAGCTCCCAGCCAGCAGCCTGGTCTGGGCACTGCCTGAGTACCCTGGTCTGACTGCCCACCAGGGTGGTGTTTGTGAGAGCACGGTTCCCATCGGGCACCAAGGTCAAACAGTAAGAAACCCTCCCCATATGCTGAGCCAAGGCACCATGCACACGGAGCATGTGTTTGCACATGTCTGTATATGCACACACTTGTACGCTCAGCTGGTACGAGCACTGATGGGCACCTCTGGCAGGGCCCTGCTTTGGGCAGCGCTGCTGCAAGCAGAGGGGGGTGTCTGCAGAGGGGCTTGCTGGCTCTGCCCTCCTGGGAAGGCAGGTAGTGCCATGCTGGGCTGGGGCAGCTTTTGGGCATGGCAAATGGTGCAATATCCTGGGCTGGGCTTTACCATGGCTGTAAAGGAGAGGCCCAACATGGGACCTCTGCCCAGGGCCCCACACAGACTAGAAACCAGAGACTCAGAACCTCACCTGAAGTGGGTCTGGCCGAACCACTCCGCTCGTGAGCTCCCAGACCTACCTCTCCCCTGAGTCACCAGGTCAATGCCTGGCCTGCCTCAGCACTTGCCCAGGGCTGGTCTTGAATCCCAGGAGCACCCCCATGACCTGAGCTGCTCCACGCACGCCCAGACACAGGTGTGAGGAGGTTAGCGGCATGGGAGGGGATTGGAGTTCCCTCGTCTCCCATTAAATGCAATGGGAAATCCCGTTAGCAGCTTTGAACACTTCCACGCGTGACAACAGAGGCAGGAGGGAAGCCTCAGGCAGGGACTGCTGGGGCAGATGGGACACAAGGCAGTTTGTGGTGGGATGCAGCCCAGAACCTGGCTTGGAGGAAGGACAGGGCCAGTTTCAACCCAGATCCCGACAGCCAGGAGCACGGACTAACTGCTAGGCAGGAAGGGAAGAGGCTGGCGGGGTGGAGGGAGAGAGACCCACGTGCACACACATATGCGCGCGTGCACACAGCATCTCTCACTTGCAGCCGACGCAGAGGTAAAGGATATTTACTGCCTCGCTCAGGGGCCCAGCCCCTGCTACTCACGTACTTTTGTTTTTCTGCCTCATTTCTCTGCAACAAGGTTTCTGTGAAAAGTGCTTTGCTGTTGATACTCGCGAGCCTGGTTCCCTCCGACACCGTGAGCCCAGCTGGAGACGTTCCCTCTCTCTGCTCTGCGGGTGTAAAATTCACATCAGCAGCATGACAGGACCGAGAACGCGGCTGCTTCTTCCAGGGCCATGAGATCAATCGCAGGGGGAAAGAATTGATTTCCAGAACTTCAGCCACGGAGTTAATACGTTCTGCAGGTTCTGCTGGTCAATCACGTTACGGAGGCGCAGCAGGGCGCGAAACCCTGAGCGCAGCCTCCAGTCTGCTAAAGTGGCAGCTTCCTGACTAGGTTAGATCTGCTAATAGTCTCATTCCAGCCACTTCAGCTCCCAGCAACTGGGAGCTCTGCGAGGGCTGAGCGGCCCCCGCCGCAGCTCCAGCCCAGAGCACAGCACGCCGGCATCACACCAATCTCCTGCCTAACATGCTCTCCACGCTTGCTACCACCATTATTTACACCCTGCCTGCCTGGGGTTTTCATGCAGTTTGGATGAGCTGGGGGGAGAGAGAGCGTGGGCACATGTGCGTGCATGACCAGAGCACATGGCCAGGGTCTGGGACCAAAATCCTGTGCAGGTGCTGAGTGCCCGACAGAGACCTCTTGTTGGACTGGACATGCTGCACCCCCGGGCTCTGCAGTGACTGTGTCTCTGCCCTGGGCTGTGCAGAGCACCCCGCAGGGAGACTGACTCGGGGCAGCCACAAAAGGGACCTCGGGGCTTTCCCAGCACGAAGCAATCCAGCGGCTCAAGGAACAACGGCAAGCTACCCGGCCTGCTCAGGCTCCTTCCCAGCTCCAGCCGTCTCTGGTGCTTTTAGAGACACAGAAAGAAACACGGGCTGGTGGAAAACACAGGGACCAGTTGGCCTCACCCCAGGGCAGCTGGTAGAGCTGCACTGAGTGACCCCACCTGGTTTCTTGAAAGCCCCGCTCTGGTGCCACCCAAGCAGTGGCGAATAAATATCTGTCGCTGTGCACTTGTCTCTGGCTCCCGTCCTCTGCACCCACGGGTGCCAGTGCCCCGGTGCATGGGCCCCACAACACAGAGGAAAGCCAGCAGGCAGGGTCAGAGGAAGCGTCTCCATCAATGGGGGCTCTGCCTGGCACGGGGCAGATGTAAATGAGCATAGCTCTGCTGAAGCGGTGGCATCAAGCCAGGGGGGGACCCCAGCACAGCCCACGCTGCTGCTTATCGGGAGACGCAGCCTGGGAAACAACAAGGCTGCTGAAGTCGCTCCCATTCTCCTGGGATGGGGAGTCCCGGCCCCCATCCACTCCCAGCTTTGGGTTCACAAGGGAACCGTTCTGGATGCTCCAAAAGCCTCCGACGGCCCACTGCAGACCCCAGCACCGATTTCCTCTGCCGTATGGCATCCCCTCCCCGGCTCCCTCTCCCTGGCCCTGGGCCAGAGGCAAGGAGAGAGCAGGCACGGCGGGTACCTTTGGTGCCAAGAAGTTCAGGGGGCTTCTTCCACTGCCGGTTGAGCTCCTTCAGGGGTGGGGTCTCGGGGTCGAGGCACTGAAGCTGCCGCAGCCTGTCTTCTAGGCTCCGCGCCGCCTCCAGGACAGGAACGGGATCTAGAGGGAAGCAAAGCCGACAGGTGAGAGGCAGCAGCTGGCACGGACCCCCACCTCGGCCCTGCTTGCAACACTTCCACGGCCCCCCCGGGGAATAAGTCAGGTGCTGGCTGCACAGCTCATAGCCCCCCTGCAGCAGGGCCGTGTCCAGGACTGCCAGAGAAGGGCAGCAACGTGTGCACGGCTGCTCCAAGGTACGCAGGGTCGGGGGGCTGTACTCAGGGAAACCACTGCCCCAGGGCTGTCTGTGCACTGGTGAATGCAAACTGCGCCATAAGAGACTTCACAGAGCAGTGGTCAGGGCGCCAAGCCTCCACCCATCCACCTGCATGCTTTCCCAAGGCCCTGACGGCTCCGAGGGGAGGGAGAGCGGCAGCAGACACCTGGACCAGGTCGATCCACCCTTGCCCTGCTCACGCCAGCGGTGCTTTGGAGAGAACTACAGGAATCGGTGCTTTTCCGTGGGACTCAGGTGCCGGTCCACACGAGCCATGCAAGTCAGCAGTGCCCGCGGGCAGCACTGTTGGCATGGGCACTGGGGGCCTAGCGAGGCATGGGTTACACACAACCGGCACTGAGGGCACTTCTCTCGTGCCCCGAGGCTCAGCTCCACCCTGCGAAATGCCAGCTGCCCAGGCAGAGCCCCCGGTCCCTCCTTCGAGCCCGCAGCCTCGCAGTAACGCCTGTTTGTTCAGGCAAAGGAAGGCCCAGACAATAGCAGTTTGTGCAGAGGTAAGCAGGTGCATTCAGAGCAGTATGTCTTCCCTCTGTCAGCATTACACCATCATTAGCTAGTGTCTGCTCAGCAGGGTGTGCCATTATGTCTCCCAGGGCTGATGTAATTATACATTGACATAATTAACCCAGCAAGCCCATTAAGCAGGCCAGCTAAAAATTCATCTATAATTATTTGTTGTGTGCATGCTAATGAGTCCATCTGCACTGCCATTGTACAACACGAACAAATTAATTTACAAGTCTGGATTTTTTAATAAGTTCAAGAAAATGCCTCCTATTGAGCCAGGTTAATATTATTTTTTTTTTTTAGAGGGAAAAAAAATAGAATCGAATTCTCCAGGGTCAAAAAGTTAGATAAACAGGGACGTGGAACGGAGCAAGACTCGCTGCCGCGTACCGATGGCACAAATCCAATCGCGAAAAACCGAACTGGCAATAAAAGCCAGCGCTGCTGCTAAGTACGGCTCCCGGCCCGCAATGGTATCAAACGCAGAATAATTAGAGGCGGGTGTAAAACAAGGGGCCAGCTCTCGCCTGCCATGTGAGCGGCACTGGTGACATTTCGTTTGTCTTGCAGCGTATAACTGTTCGGGAGCCACTTGGGTGCATTTGGCGGTGGGAAGTTGACAGGCGCAACGCAATGGCTGTTTGGAAGTGAGGATGGAGCAATTAACAGTGGTATGGGGCCAGAGCCTGCTTGGCTTGCTCAAGTGAGTCATGCCGCCAAGTTCTCATCTCGTCTGCCCGTGCGTGGGGCTGGAATAACTCCACTGAAGCGAATGCAGCTACTCTGGGGTCCCGCTGGTGTCGTGGCAAGTATCTGACTTATTCACTTCACTGGCACTACTTGCGCAAGGGGTGAAATCCACCCCGGTATGGAGGAGCAGCTCAGGGGCTCCGACCTCTCACTTCAGCGCCATGGGCTTGCAGCAGCTCTGCGCACAGGATGGACTTCATCCAAGGCAAGCAGGACCTTTCCCAACGGCTTGAACTTCGTCCTCTGCCTTAATCAAGTCTGTGACAGGACTGTTGTGGCCCCGGCAATAGGTTTATGCAGGTTCAGTCCTGCAGACCTTTGTGCAGAAGCTAACTGGGCACCGTGAGCAGCCGCAGCAATCATCAGGACCATTCATGCACAGAAAGCTGGGCATGTGTGTGAGCACTTGCCAAGCTGGGGCCGAGGCAAAGTGTTTCTGGAGCACCCACCGCCTCCTCTCCAACACAGGGACAAGCTTGCGAGGGGGCGGACTGCTGAAATGAATGCCACCATTTCACTCCTCCAAGGACTGATGCAGCAGTGGGAGGGTAGGAACAGCTCCAGATAGGACCCGATTCTCACTTATGCTGAGTTTCGTGGGGCCAAAAATGATTTTGAAAGGTCCAGCATGTGAACTACCACACAACAGCCATGAAACAAGAGCATCCCGATGACGGGCTGGGCCCCTGCCCCACTAGATGGACTACAGAAGGAAGGAATGAGCTCCTATTCTTGGAAATACCCCTTCTCTGAACACCCAGTTGTTGCTATAACCCACCAGGAAGAGGGCGCCTCAGTGGGAATTTTGCAGCTGCTGTGGGGAAGAGTATTTATGCGGGGCCTGTCCAGAGCGATCCATCTCCTGCCCCTTGCCTCCAACAGCTTCCAGCATTCAACACCTGCTGATTCCTACCTTGAATGTATACAGAGAAGCTACTATCGAACCAGACACGGAGTCCACCACTGGCTTCAATGAGATTTGGATTCGGCCTGGGGAGTCTAACGTGCAGGTCTACATTGGCGAAGGTGACAAAGCGCGCAAGTTGGCACCTGCGATTTAAATCACGTCAACAGCCACGTCCTGGAAGATCCCCGTCAAGGATGTAAACACGTGACCGAGCTATGTCTGAACAAACCCAGGCGGCTCTCTGAAAATGGCCTCCAAGACTCATTCCAACAAGATCAGTCAAATCTCCACTAAGCTCACGGAGATGCATCAAAGGTGCATCCTACCGCTTATCTCCAGTGATGGCTCAGCCCCCTCCACCCTTCACGCAACCAGCAAGGACTGCAAGTACTCAGCACCTCTGAAAACCAGGCCCCTTGCAAAAAAAAATGTATTGGTAGGGCAATGTACTGACTTGGCCTATTAGGTCTTTCCCAGCTCTTGCCGCTATTAGTCCATGAGAACCAATCCTCCTTTATTTCTTCATGCAACATTCATTTCTGCTGAAATCCAGAGAGTCCATTGTTGTTCATTTTCAAACACAGTACCAGCCGTGTGGTTTTCTTTAAAGAAATAAAAGACCAGACAACTAGAGGATTCTGTCAAATTATGCATACTTAAAATGCCTGTAACTGAAGAATCGCTGTATCAAAGGAATTCCCATTTACTTTGTCTTGAAGAATTATTTGAGGCATCAGCTAAATGTCAGGCAGAGAGACTAAGGTACACAAGTTAAAAGAAGGCGGGGGAAAAGCCTTCTGTTCGCTTTTAAATATGTTGAGCTGGTTTCTCACTAAGACAATAATAGCTGTATAAAGAACCGCTCCAAATCCCCCTTTCTCAGCAAGAACTGGGGAGAAGAGGATAAAAAATTACAGCAAGAACAAAACTCCCTAGGCTACAGTCAAGTGATAGGCAAGGCTTGAGCCCTGACCTTTCCCGCTGTGCTGTGTCAGTACGTTGGGCGATACGTGCTCAAGCCTTAAGCCTCTTCAGGTGGGTTTGGACACTTCTGGTGCAACTGCTTGGCTGTTCAACACAAGGCAGAGGAAGTGCAAGGCACTCCCCCACTGCAAGAGATCTGCGTTATTCTCCCCATCTTGCCTGGAGAGACTTGCCCAAGGGAGCAGGGAGTCAATGCCCCCCAGGAGGTCCTGAGTAACCTCTATGCCCTGAGGCCGGTTCTCTCTGGGCCAGGGATGCAGAAGCAGTGGGGAAGGCTGGTTCTGGTAGGCAGGGGCATGAGCTGCCTTGGTGATACCTATGGCACCTGCCATGGGAATGACAGCAGTCCCAGTGCACCTCTGACTCACACCTGTTGTGCCCCAGGGTGACGGTGAGCCTAGGCGTGCGAGCACCCTATGGCAGGGCGAAAGTGGGTGGGACTTTACCACGCAACGGCGGCCCTGCCTGTCTGCGCTCTCTTGCCCCGTGGTAAGTGGAAGCTGAATGGCAGTGACTTCCTCCTCCCAAAGCGAGGGCTATATTGCAGAAAGCCACAGGAAATGGCTCGTGACCACATCCTCTGACTCCATCTGAGTTAGTCCTGGTTTACACTGGGGTAGAGGAAGAGGCCAAGCGTACCTCCACAAGACCACATTCTCCCACACTGAGATTTCCTTTTATCTGGTCTGAGAAAGCCATGAAAGCCACAGACTATGTTGCAAGTACTTATGTCCCTTCGCCATGGGTGGAGCAGGGGACTTACGCTTCAGGCTCTGGAATCCAGGAGATCCAGGGTCTCTGATGCCCTGGGGAAGACACCCTGGCCACAACAGCTTCTCATTTTGGATGCCCGGTGTTAGAAACCTGGGCTCCACCTGTCAGAGGTGCTAAGCACCCACAGCCCCAGCCCTGGGAGCTGGAGAAGGGTGGAAGGGCAGGAGATGAAAAGAAGTTCCCCCATGGGCTGGCTCAGCTCCTGTCGAAACGACCACGTCCCTGGATGCCCTGGAGCACGAACGAGGTTCTAGGCGGCTGGCGTGGCGCCTTGCTCGGCTACCTTCAACAAGTAATAACGATAATAAAGCACTGCAAGATCCTTGGAACAAAGACAACTGAAGCGGGACAACATGCTCTGAAATGTCCTTCCTGCCAGGCCCCTGGCCTGAGAATTTGACAAGGATCTCAGTCTGTGGTACAGCTGCTGGCTTAGCCCCAAGGACAGGAGCAATGTCAGAGAAACAAGTGAGTGGAGACGTGTCTCCTCACTCCAGGCAGGGCAGGCATTAACCCCTGCTTCCTACCCTGCTGCACATTAGCAGAAGACATTCGATAAAATTAGAGGGCAATAATTCAGGTGCAATAAAAGGATGCCTTGCCTTTACGCACTATATAGTCCACCTGTAGTACTCGCAGCTGCAGAGGGTCATCAACTGAAGACATATAGTGTGGCTGGATTTTAAAAAGGACCGGATAATTTTACAGCCATTAATAACGTTTGTAACTATGCAAGCTAAGATAACGATATGGGTAATTAAACCTCATGCTTCAGGGCTGAAGCTGATGGACTGCAGGGGTTGTGAAGGATTTCCAGCTCCACTCCCACCACGCACGTTG